TCGGTACTACCGAACCGGGTATTTTGTAACGGGTACTTAGTTGTAAAGGGTACTGAAAATCGGTACATCCAAGTACCCGTTACTTCAGTACCAAAATCGGTACTTTCCGGTATTCGTTACTTCTGTACCGAAACGGGCACTTTTCGGTATTCGTTACTTTTGTACCGAAACGGATACTTTTCGGTATTCGTTACTTCTGTACCGAAACGGGTGCTTTTCGGTATTCGTTACTTTGTAACGAAAATATGCGTCTCTTCTCGGTATTTCGGTATTCGTTACTGGAGGATCGATGAGGGTTCAGCTCACTTCGGTTTTGGTACGAGGACAGTAGTATCTGGTTGTATTTGCGAAATGGTGATATGCGCTCCTTGTGTCCATGAATGGTCTGCTCCTCAGACACTTCCGTAGTTGACATGTTTTCTGATATTCAAAATCTTACTCCGTACAGATAAAATCAAACACGTGGTGACGTGGCAGAGTTCCTTCAGCGCGCAAAATCGTTAGCTGCGTATTTCGGTACTCCAAATCGTTACTAGGGCACTTCGGTACTCCAAATCGTTACTAGGGTACTTTGGTACTCCAAATCGTTACTAGGGTACTTCGGTACTCCAAATCGTTACTAGGGTACTCCGGTACAGCAAACCGTTACTAGGGTACTACGGTACAACAAACCGTTACTCCGGTATTTCGTTACTTCGGTACTCCAAATCGTTACTTGGGTACTCGGTACTTGAAATCGGTTTTCGGTACTTTTCAAAGTAACGGTTACTTGAGTAACGGGTATTTTGTACCGGGTACTTGTCTGTACCCGTTACTCTGGTACCGGGTACAAGAATGTACCGAAGTTGCCATCACTACACGAAACCGTGTTTACAATTCTTCCATAATCAGATAACTCTCTAATGCTCTTCTGTAATCAAATAACTCGATCCATTTCATTTAGTGTGCAATGAAATGACTAAACGAACTCCGATTTTATTCTAATTCCGCAATGTTGTTGTTTTTTTAATCAGCTATTAATTCTTTAAAAAGTTTTTTTTTAACGTTAAAAGAAAATTTATTTCAAAAATGCTTAAAAAATAGAAAAATGATTATATGATTAAATTGATATGATTAAATTTTTGACTGAAAAAGATCTTAATCCGAAAGAAATAAAACGATACTTGGAGCATATGTATGGGGATTTATCTTCAGCCTTCTATTCATTCTACAGCGAAAGAATAAGTAAAATAATTTTGGCATGGGTCAAGAATCCGAAATATTATTCCCGTAAAATTCAGACATTGGCGGCAGTGACATAAAAATATTGCTTGTGCCCACAAAGAAATATTGAGTGAAAAGAAATTAAAAGTCAAGGAGATAACAGCATGATGGATCTATTTAAAACCGACGTTTTGTGCACTTTACATGAATAAATCTCTGGAAGATGGTTATCTCGGATTTTTTAGAAGTTTAGAAACAGCTATATGTCAAAGTTTCGTATTCTGATCTATCGGTGATGGGATCAGTATTTACAAAAATACAAAAAGATTATATATCTATATATTATATATATTATATAGATATCTATAATATAGATCTAGATATATCTATATATAGATAGTATATATCTATATATCTCTATATCTATCTATCCTATATATTATATATCTATCTATATATATATTATATATCATATACTATATCTACTATATATATCCTATATCTATCTCTCTATATATATAGCTATATATATACTAGTAGCTTCGCTGCCAGCCTTCGTCTGGCTTTTAAATGTACCGGAAAAATGGCTGAAGGGAACACCAAACGTTAAATTTAAAAACTGCGCAGAAGTTTACTCTGCAGAACAACTTCATAAAAAAAAAGTTATTACGTATAACAAAATTACAATGAAATAAGCAATATCCCTTAATACAAATATTAATTATCCTAATAAATAAATTAACCAACTTCCCTTTGCAAAATCTTAAGAACTCAAATGGTATAAAGGTGGTTAAGAACATTGTTTCCTAAAAAAATCTCTCAAAATTTTTCAATATCTTAAAAACAGTGAAGTGAGAAATAAATAACATAAAAGGATACGAAAAACAAAAAATTCTGTAAAGCAAAGTATAATTAATGATATTTTATCTTATATTTTCAAGAGAAAAAAAATTACAGTGAAATAAGCTAAGGAAAAATGACAATGAAATATGTCAATCTCTTAAAAACAGTGACATAATAAATACGATGAAAAATTGTTGCCAAACTCATATTTCTAAAAGAATGAAACTATTCAAAATGATGCGATTTCAACAAAAATGTATCAACAACAATAAGAGAGGAAAATTGTTGCCAAAATCACATTTTTAAAGATGTGAGATGTGAGAAGTGTACTCGGAAGCTTCATTTAATTATTTTTTTAAAAATATAAAATATTATAATTTTTCCAAAATTCTTTTTGTAAAAGCAGTCGCAAGGATGAAAGTTTAACGTGTCCAAAAATCAAAGAAAAATAAACTGTACATTTTTAAATATAAACTTTTTTAGAAAAAATCCCGTTGAAAATGTGTTAAGCTCACTTTCTTAAATAAATTCGTATTTAATCTATTTATTGAAACACGAAATTTATTTTAAGTTCGTAAAATAGCTAAGTGCCTACCTTTCATGACGATGTGAAAATGGAGTGTGTGGAGTAAAATCTCGCTTTCTTATAGTCCATTATGTCTCAAAATGACGCGATTTCGTCACAAAACATAAAACAACAACAAAACAAAAAAAAAAAAAAAAAAAAAAAAAAAAAAAATAATAATAATAATAATAAAATAAAAAAAAATCTGAAATGTTTCAGATTTTAAATTACGTCCAAAGGGGCGTTTTTTAACATTTTTGTGTGTTACCTTTCTTTATTAAATATCATGTTCCTCGCACTTAAACCATAAGATCCAGTGCAACAGCAGTATCGCAAAATAGTTTTAAAACGAGCATATCTTTAGAATTTCCGATACAGAGACTCACGCGCTGGAGATAAAAATGTTTTTTTCTTCTGCACAACGTTGCCATTGCTCTCTTTGAAATCCTTGAGTTTGTTAATCAAAAATTCGTCAAAGTTTTAAAAATAGGAAATCGATCATAAAACAAATTTCAAATTTCAAATTTGGTCTTCCACATGCTCATATTCGTTGGAGGATTACTTTATTCAAAATTCGATGACTCTATGTACCGTTGTTTTATCACAATACGAGAAATATACATACATTTATGCAGATTTTTCATTATTTAATTTCTTCAAATTTAATGCAGGACTCTAACATTTTGTGGCAACAGTTTGAAAAGTGAACCGACATTTATGAGTCCGACGCAAAATGCCAAAACGAAACTAATAGTCCTTCGGGATTCAAATCCCTTTGGACTAAAAATAAAAATCTAATTCGAATTTCGAAAAAATCGCTTCGAGGTACACTGGCTCTTGTCTAGATGCACCTAGGTACTAAATTTCTTAGCCGTGGGTCTATTAGCTTACGCGCAACGCGAACGAAAGACACACACACACGCACAGACAGACTCTTTCTTTTATTATACGTAGAGATATCTTAATATGGTAATAGAAAGGTGCTGCCATTCAAGACTTCCAGTTTTAGCAAATAGCAGTATTATTTTTCAATCCTAGCCATCATTTGCGCTATGAAATTTATTGAAATTCAGATTATAAATTTCTACATTTCTTAAATGATTATTTTAGAATTTTAAGAAATGGATGCTGTTCTCGAATACTGCTCATCAAGTATTCAATAGCTGTTCATCAATAACTGCTCAAAATTTAAAGCAAATTGCTCTGTACATTAAAATATTTTTAAATAGGATTTATATAAAGTCTCTTTAGTTCAAATGAATCGCAGTTTAATATAACTACCTCTACTTTCAAAAGCTCGAACTATCCCTAATTAGCATATCGTGAATGGCCCATGCATCTCAAAGAATAGCAATGTACACTTCACTGCATTGGCCTATCTTATCTACAGGTCGTACTGTAAACAACCGTGTTTAAAACAGAACAGAATCAATAACAATCTTTTCTGTGCGTGGGAACAGGTAAAAATTAGAAACAAAAATCTGAAAGTTTTCAGATTTTATATTACGCCCAAAGGAACTTTTTTAATGTTTTGTGTGTTATATTTATTTATTAAATATTATGCTCTTCGCACTTAAAACCACACAAACAGCATACCTTTAAAATTTCCGATAGACAGTTTCGAGTGTTAGAGATAAAAAAAGTTTTCGTCTGTACAGTGTTGCAATTGCTGGTTTTGAAATCGTTGAGTTTGTTAGTCAAAAATTCGTTAAAGGTTTAAAAATGTGAAATAGGTAATAAAAAAAATTAATTCCGACTTTGAGGTGCCCATGTTTGAGTCGAGGATTACGTTATTCGAAATTCGATAACTCTAGGGACTGTCGCTTTTTCGCAGCGTGACAAACGCACCTACATTCATGCACATTCTCCTTTATTTGATTCCTTTTATAATAATACAGGGTGATAATATTTACTGGCAACAATTTGAAAACTGATTTAGCCTTTTACAGTGATTCAAAGCAAAAGAAAATGCCGTTCCGAGGCTAATAGCCCTTCTGAGCTAACGCTCCTTTGGGCTAATAAAATATTAAAAAATATACTTCCTCTAATCAATCTTTAAAAAATTTATTTAATTTTTTTAAATTTTCTGCTTTAAAGACGGTACGAATCTTATTGTCGTAAAACTCTGTATGCAAAACGTTTCCAGGTGCGGCAAGATCATCGTAAGTTAATGCATTGTTTGTTAAAAATATAGTTTTAGTGGACAAAAAGTGAAACCTATTGCATATAATAGACCATTATGCAAACGTGATTCCAAATAATGAAATTTCAGCTAATTACATTTAGTTCTAGTAGTGTTTTCGTTTAAAAAAATCCAACTGAATACAATATTTTTAACATTTCTTTAGTTTGAATGTAATTACTTAACCGCTCGTTTTTTCTCTTTTAGAAGCTGGAGAGCCGCCGAAACTACCTGCTATGAAGTGCCAGCTTCGAAAACACAAAAGCAATCGGAAACCTAGGACACCTTTCACGACGCAACAGCTATTAGCATTAGAAAGGAAGTTCCGATCGAAACAGTACCTATCAATAGCAGAGAGAGCTGAATTCTCTTCATCCCTCAACCTCACTGAAACTCAAGTTAAAATTTGGTTCCAGAATCGAAGAGCTAAAGAAAAACGCCTCAAAGAAGCGGAGATTGAAAAACTTCGTATCGCTACTCGTCCCTTGCTGCCGTCCTTTGGTTTTGGAATGACCGCCGCAGGTGCCTCCCATTTCCTGCACGGTGTTCCAGCCCATTTCGGAACAGCAGCAATCAGTCGGCCTCTCTTGGGGCCTCTCATGACTCCTTATCCTATATACTCTACACCCTCGACAGTGTGCCCACAATGATCATCATCTTTTCTCCAAGTCCAGAAGTCAGTTCCTGGTGATCACGATTTCAAGACAAGGTCCTTGACCACGTCTAATGTTCCTGGTGGATGCCGTAGCTGGAGCGTGCCTCTTAACTCTAAGACTAATTTAAGCAGCAACCATCTGAATGCTGTTGGAAAAGCTCTTAGCTTGAATATTAAGATGGTTGCTCAATGTATAGTAAATCACTGATCATAAAGCATTTCATTTCAACACAGAGTTTTTCTCATTTTGGAATAGAGTGAGATGATGTGTTAGTTATGCTTGGATTTGCTAAAAATTATAATATTTTGAAAACAAAATTGCCAAATATTTATGTTAATCTACGTACAGTGTCTCAAAAAAGTGATGGGACACTTGTGCTTTACAAAAGGAAACTGCAATAAAATAAATTTAAAAAACATGTAAAATTTTTTGTGGGTGTGTTTCATACTTAAATTTAGTAACAATTATTACGTAACATACATTTTCTCAAATATTAAAATATTAATTTAATAAAAATACAATTGTTTAGAACGGAGCAGAAAATGGCTCACTTAAGTGATGGGACACTTACTTTTCCATCAAATATTTATCCAAAAATCTTACTTTTTAAAAGGTTTTAATATTTTGTTGGATTTCCTTTTACTTTTAAAACATGATTTAATCTTCTTGGGATGGATTCGACCAATTTTTTTGTGATTTCTGGAATGATTTTACCCCATTCTTCTTGAAGCACCGATTTTAATCGTTGTTTTGAAGAAATGGTGTGTTTGCGAATTCTTGATTCCAATTCTTGCCAAATATTCTCTATGGGATTTAATTGTGGAGATTGTGGGGGTGTTTTTAGTATTTCAGGACAGTTATACAGCAGCCAGAGTCTAACGTTCAAAGCACTGTGCTTGGGGTCATTGTCCTGGTAGAATTTAAAATCGTTATGAAGGTTCAATTTTCGTGCTGAAGATTTCAAAGTTTGATTGAAAATGTCAATATACTTGTACTGATCCATTATACTGTCAATAAAAACAAGATTACCGACTCCAGCGGACGACATACACCCTCATACCATAACTCCTCCTCCACCATGTTTTACTGTTGGCACCAAGTTTTGTTTGCAAAATTCTTCCCTGGGTTTTCTCCACACCAAAGATTCTACCGTCAGAAAAAAATATATTAAATTTACTCTCATCCGCAAATATAACTTGATCCCAGTCATCAGAATTCTTATTTATGTTGGATTTTGCGAAAGCCAGTCTGAGTTTTCTATTCTTTTCACTTACGAAGAATTTTTTCCTGGCTACTCTACCGTGATATCCAGTAGATCGAATTACTCTTCTAATAGTCCCAGAATTAACAATTACTCCATATAATGCTGGTAAATCAGCAGCAACTTTAGGAGCACTCATTCTTGGATTTTTTTTAAATATTTCGAACGATAATTCGCTTTATTCCATTGGAAAGCTTTGATGGTCGGCCAGGTCTTCTTTTATCCTGAATCATATGATTCTTTTTATATCGTTTAATGATATTGAAAACTGTTGAATGACTGAAGTTAACTGTTTCAGTAGTTTCTCTAATAGATTTTCCACGTTCAATATGCAAATTAATAACTAATTTTCGAATTCCAGGCAAAGTTTCTTTTCGTTTAGCATTCATGGCTGCACAGAGCTAAAAAACACAAAAATACCAAAAAAAAAAAAAAAAAAAAAAAAAAAAAAAAAAACTGGAGAGAAATACTGCAGACGATTTTATAAATTATTGGCAATTGCTTTTGAGTAAAAATAAATACCTCAAAAGATATTTTTATTGCTTACTTCAGACGATTTTTGTTGCATAGTACGTAGTGTCCCATCACTTAAGTGAGCCATTTTCTGCTCCGTTCTAAACAATTGTATTTTATTAAATTAATATTTTAATATTTTGAGAAAATGTATGTTATGTAATAATTGTTACTAAATTTAAGTATGAAACACACGCACAAAAAATTTTACATGTTTTTTTAAATTTATTTTATTGCAGTTTCCTTTTGTAAAGCACAAGTGTCCCATCACTTTTTTGAGACACTGTATTTCATTTTAATACACATAGCAGGAAATCTGCTTTATTAAAAGGTTTTGCATAGCCTAAAATCGTCTGTCGGGAAAAGTTCTTTATTTACTCAATAAACTTTTATTGATGAAAACTAATTAAAGAACAGAAGCACCAGAATCTTATTATATGAAAATTAGTTGAGAATTTCAATTAGATTTTGTAAAAAAAAAATAAATTCAAAAAAGTTCAAAAAATTCTAATCAAATTTGTCTCGTTTTAATTTAGCAAAGGCTGTTTGAATAACCTGATTAGTAATTAATTATAAATTAGCTTCATTATAATGGATGATGATAATCAAATTTCAGACTGAATATCCGACTTAAATTTCCTTTAAAATTTGTTCTACCTTTCAGATTTAATAGAAATATAAAAATATAAAGGCTGAAATTAATAACGGAATACAATTTAATGCTCTATTATTCCACCAAACTTTCTTTTGTTAAATTATCTCTTTTTAATTTGATAAAAAGTTAATACGCTTCTTTATAAAGCTTTTCCATTAGTTATATAATAACAGTTTTATTTATAATGCTTTCTTTTCAAGCTTAAATATTAGAAAAATCAAAAATTTACATGAACATTCTTAGAAAATTTTCAAAAACATGAGTTTCGGAACCAAAATTGGCAACAGTTCAGATACTTAAAAAAGACGATAAGATGCTCTAGATTTCATAAAATAAGCTTTAACGAATGCATGAATAGAGTAATGTTACATATGAAAAAAATGCTAAGTGTTATATATGAAACGGAGTAGCAGATCCAAGCATAATTTTCTAAATCGTTTCTTAAGAAGCGTTTTCCGATAGAACTGGAATTGTTCATGTGTAAATATATTATTCTGAATGATGCTTTTACGTGTCAAAGTTGTGCTTTGAACACTCACTGGAATTTCTTCTACCACAGAGAACTTGATGAAATGAACTCCTTTTTTTCCCCTCAAAAGAAATTGCACTAACTCGAAGTAGACAAGAAATCCAGAATTATATTTGCATATTGTTTATTAGAGTATCTTAGAAAAATTTAGGTCCTGCACAGCTTCTTCATAAAATACGATAAATATCATTTACAATTTGCTCAAATCTTCAGGATCGAAGCCATTAAAACACAGCTCTGCAGATGGAATACATTATATCAAGAAATTGCAATACTATTGGATTCTATAGTTAGCGCATCAACTAATTTATATTTTATGAATAAATATATTGTTTATGTTTGTCTTTAATGTTCTAAAATCTTTGAAATATTACCAAAATGTAACTTGTGTTTTTGTAAAATTTCTGCATAGATGGTTACGCACTGTATGAAGTTATTCAAGGTAGCTTGATTTGGCTAAAAATGTTTGCAAAACGTTATGAGAGCTTACGTCGATGAGTTCTTTGCTATAATGTAATGCCTATTTTAGATGTCCTACATTTTTTGCAGCATCCTGTTTTCCCTTTTCCTACTTCCTTATAATGTGACATACGACATTATGAACAACCTAACTCAAGATTTTCGAAGTTACGTAATACTTCTATTCACAGCTTCCTAACAATTCCAGATTTATTATGGCTGACAAAATGGCTTGTTATCTAATGGCATTTCGATACGCATAACCAAATTTAAGCAGGTGTAAGGATATACCCCATTCAGTGTGTTTCCATCACAAGAAACAAAATTAAAACTTTTGAAAATTATAAATGTAGTAATACTGTGAAATTTTACCAAAAGCAAATGTTTAGAATAAATAGAATAAATGTTGACCGAAATCTTGCAATAGTAAGTTGAGATTGTAAAGTTTGGAAATTTGCCTATTATTGAGATACAGAATGGTAGCTTGTCCCAAAATTCTTATTATTTATGTAACTTTAAGTAAACAGGAAAAAAATAATTTGTGCATTTAAAAAAAGCACTTTTAGTGCTGTTTGTATTTTTTTTTAAATTTAAAACTAATCAGATATTACGAAAAAGAAAGTGATAAAAATCTTATACAGCATCTGTTTAGTTTTCTGTAAATAATGAAGTAACTAATTAATTTTATTTGATATTCCCTTCAAATAAATGACGAAAACATTCGTATAAAAGCTTTTGCCAATTAATGTGAATCTTTCATATCGTTTAGATAAAAAACACACAGAATGTCCACCACTTTTTATTGAAATGAGAGAAAAGCAGTTTCTTACATTTATTGTAAAAGTAGATAAGAATTAGGCTATCTGTATTTTATTTGAACTAAGTTTTATCGACAGAACTTCCTCGGAAAAACTTACGCATCGTTCCTATACAGTACCTGCAGTATGTAGTATGAAAAGCTAAACAATGGCTGCTGTTTTTAATAACCCGTCTATTTCAGCGTACATTCGTATATATTACTGAAATAAAATTTATTGTTCTAGGCTGACATTGTCTTATCATTTTCTTCAATTGTCTACACTGGCTTATTAGTTTCAGAGATTTTCGTCAATTACTGGCAGTAACCCAATTAGAAGCGTTGGTTAGAGACAAAGGATTCAAATGAGGAAAAAAGGAAACTGATGTTTTTTTTGGGGGGGCGTTTTGCAAGAATGGGGGAAAAATACGCATCCTTCTACTCGCGTTCTATATTCTTGCCACACAATTCTTTTTTCGGAAGTTTAGTTATTTTTATTATCTGTTAAATAACTCCATAAATTACAAACGGGAATGTTTTGGCGGGAGGGGCCTCATGGTACTTAAAACAGCAATCAAATATTGTCTGCAAAACTGCTTGAATATTTGAAGAACACCAGATCAGAATATTTTAATACATTTTACGAATAAATGCTAAAGAATGCGAACCAATGAAACTGTCAGCAAACATTAAAAAAAAAAAAAAAAAAAAAAAAAAAAAAAAAAAATCTTTCTCTAACCAATATGCTAAGTTTAAGCTTTTCGTAATAAAAATATTATTACTATTATTATTATCGTTTTAAGGAAACAATCTGATTTGCATACCACTTGACTTCCTTGTATGGCTTATTAAATTATACACATTTTTAATGCATTTCACTTAAACTTATTTCCTCGAATTTCATTAGAGATATATTTCTCATTCAATTTATTCAATTCTAACTTCGCGGCGAAGCAAAAATACACAAAAACTCAAAACATAATTAAGACACAAACTCAAAACATCAACTAACTTAACTTAATCTTCATTCAAAATTGTAAAATACAGAGAATAAAACATCAAAAGCACCAAATACAATTAAAAGATTTCAAAAACAATTTTTACAATTAAGATTAGCGTTTCTTTTTGGAAAAAAAAAAAAA